TGTCTAATGAAAGAGAGGGACAAAAGTGCTTCGGAAACAAAGAGTAATAATAAAAAACAGCCTTGAAAATGTTTTCTTAAAATAAGTAGAATTATTTTTATACATAAATACAATAGATAAAATAGAGACGTGTTAGATTAACACCAATTAACATTTGCACCATATAACAGAAGAGAAATAGTTACCCTTTTAAATCATAAAAAAACAATTCAAAATATTTCCTAAAATACTCTAAAGGAGATCAGCTGACCTTACAACCATTAACAGTTATCCGCAAGAAAAGATGAAACTGTTATCACTAAAATTGCTCATAACTCATAATGCTCCCTATAGTGCAATTAAATGAAAAAAGTAATTTAACATAGCTCAAGGTTAGTTTGCATTGTATCTCCACTGACTGAAAGAAAATTAAGGTGCTTCTAATTTTGAAGACAGTTAAAATCAACACAAAATGAAGATGTTTGTATGTTTCTTTAGTGTTTAGCTCAGAATTGCTCCTATGCTTTCTATATACATTTATTCTCAGAAGCCAGATTTCTGGTTCATTTGAGTGCACTTCGAATTTGGTTAGGCACTACAAGAAGTGCTTTTCAAACTTAATGTGTATTGAAGTCACCTATAAATGCTGTGAAATAGATCTGGGACTAAATATGCAATTCTGCATTTCTAACAAGCTCCAAGATGATGCGGATGCTGTTGATTCCCTCAAAATTCATGAGATCATTATACACAAAAGGACTAATTCTAAAAAAAATGACTATCTTTGTTAATCAGCCAGTGAAGCTGTTGCAAGAAGCATTTAGTTCTTAAGCTTTGTCATAGATAGCAGGTATGTATTAAGCAAAAAATGTGTGTATGATTGATCTGCTTACCAATATACTGCATAAAGGATGCTGAGTAAAATTGTACTTGATTGAAAGGCATTATACCACTTAACTTTTGTCTAGTCCTCCATTACCAGAACACTGTTTTTAAAAACAGATAACATGGAAAATTTATTTCAATTTATCCTATTGTATTTATTATAATTTATTATCTTTTAATGATTTTAGTAGATAATTGTTGTGCAGTCAAACTGAAAACTTACTTCTTAGCTTCAGGCCTTTCATTTTGCATGTCAGAGACATGGGAAAGATTGATAGAATGAGGAAGTGTGAGTGAATATCGTGACTGAACCAAAATGATTATGTCCTCTTTTTCCTTTGCTGCATTCTAAACCAACAATACTGATGGTCTAAACGTCAGAAAATATTTCTGTACTATCCTTGCTATCTTTTCCTCGTAACAAAACTATTATCCCCATAGAAGTAATTATTCATATTTCTTTAAGATATGAATTTATATACAATTACTTGTTCCCCAATTATGTTAATTTTAACTAAATTAAAAGAAGTTCACACTTTCTTGGAAGAGATCCAGATGGAAAGGTGGTGACAGGTGTTAATTGATTGGGAAAAGCTAACATATGACAAAGAATTGCAGTTGTGGATACTTTGTACAAAGTACACTTCACAGGGACTAAAGTAAACATTCACTATTACTAAACTTAAATGAGAGTATTTAATTTTTATGCTCATGGGGGTGCAAAAATAGAAAAGAAACACTAAGAGCTATTCTACCAAAACTTTATCTTAATCTTTCTAATCTTTCTTTAAGTTAAAAGAAATATTTTTAAATAGTCAAGCAAAGTGAAATATTAAAATGACATCTGTACTCATTTTTAGTGAAAGTATTAATATATTATAAGTGCTTGTTCTGTTAATAATATTTTGGATACTGAATATTATACATAGTTCAGTTCATCTTTGAAGAAAATACTGTTTTATTTTAAGTAAAATTAAATACTTTGCAATATGGTAAACAAAAATATGCCTTCACAAGAATTTCTTTTAGAAGAAAATCATGAATACTTCTAACTGAAAAAAAAATGTAGCGTTGGCTGGGCAGTGGTGGTGAACACCCTTAATCCCAGTACTCAGGATTCAGAGGCAGGTTGATTTCTATGAGCTAGAGGCCAGCCTGGTCTAAAGAGTGAATTCCAGGAATGCTACAGAGAAAGCTTGTCTTGAAAAACCAGACTTAAATTACAGTGTTATTTGGTAAATATTTAATTATGGCATTGAATGGATCTGTACATTCAAAATGACATTTGTATCAGAAATCCTATTGTGCATCCTCCAGAGCAATATCTGCTAAACCTAGTTTTGAAGTAACGGAGAGTAACTAAACTGTTTGTTCCTAAAAAAACTAATGCAATTAGTAATATATCTGTTAGAAACATGATTTTATTGAGGAGTAGTAGATGGCTTAGTGATTAATAGGACTTGCTCTTACTGAGGACCTGACTTTGGCTCCCAGGTCCTGTGTCAGGTAACTCAAAACTGCGTGGACTACAAGCTACACAGATGGGATAATCTTATCGCCACTGATAACGGGAACAGTATTTGGGCTTACAAACCTACACACACACACACACACACACACACACACACATGATGAAGTCAATAAAAAACTATTTCTTTAAATCCTTTCTGTTGTTTTCAAAAACTGAAATAATGACTTCTGATGCTAAGGAGGCAGCAGTCACTGTATTACAGGTCTTGTGCCTTTGACAGTGGGGTTGTAGGAAGAACCAACAGTTACTGTTTTTTCTCACTTCTTGAAAGATATTAAGAACATGGACTTAGTTGCACCTTTGTAGTACTATTCTGACTGGTTGAATAAAAAATTAATTCTGAAAATATTATCAAGTACACTTACAATTATTATAACATATGATATAATAATTTTATACAAATAATTAGTATTTTGGTAACACGTTTTATTTGATTTACTTGAAGACTTAAAACCGGAAATCTATTCTAATAGTTTTAAGTTACTGCCTTTCTAAATAAGCCAATACCTTTAATTTTAAGGTCATCTTTTTGTCCTCATTTCTTATTTTTGCATATTCATATACATTAAAAGATGCATTCTTAATTTTGAATTTGCTATATATTCTAATAAAATAGCAAAAAAGTCATAAAATATATTCCTTTGCTGAAAATTAATATAGTCAAGCAGTATAATCTTTTAATAATTCCTTAAACTGAATAGCTTATTTTAGAAATTTAAACAGTGATGAGGTTTGGATATCATTGTTCAAAGTAACAGAAAGTAGCTTTACTAAATTGATGAACAGTCTGGAAGTGATAAAAATAAAACACACTGATAAAATGGTGCATGTTGAAGGAGGGTTTTTTTTAACAGCAGTTTGTATTTGAAGAAAGATAATTCAAACAACAGTTTTTATCTATCATACAATATCTTATTAAAGTCTTCACATGGAGGATGCAGATAGTATATCTAAATCAATAGCATGAAATCATAGCATGATGCCCTAGGGAACCCTGGGAAAAAACATCTTTCACATATTTTTTCATGTCTTTAATATTGGCATAGAATATATTAAGGTCAATTTATTTTTTCCAAATGCTCCTGTTGTGGTGAACATTCAAGGTGTCATATAATAATGACAACATTAACATTTTTGTTTAAAATGTGCATATATATATATATATATATATATACATGTATATATGAGCCTTCAGTGTGCTGATATTTTAATTATTCTTAGCATTTTAGGAGGGTCAAGAAAAAAATGATAAGAAAATAGACAGATAGAATTGGGTTAAATTAATTTTTATGCACCTCGTGTTGCTTGACCCATATATATGTATATATTATATTCTGTTTTATATACAGCCAAAAATATGAAGCAAATGGACAAAGACCAATTACAACGGCAATTTTAAGACTGCCCGGAATTTGTCATTGTTTACTCTTTAATTGAAGACAGTGTATATGCTTAACCTACTGAATAATTTCACTTAATTCAACCCAATTATTAACTCTATCAAATATAGTCTTGAATGAATCTATAGGTAACATTTAGATTAAACATCATTAGGATAGAAAATGCCTTGATCTTTAAATTCAAGAGTTATTCCATGGTCAGAAAGATGGGTTAGTAATTCCAATGCAATGGCCTTAAAGGAATTCTTGAACAGGACATTCACATAAATTAAGCACACACAATAAATTATAAGAGAAAACGTCTTCATGATGAATTCATGTTGTTTTGAACCTTATTTTGGATCAGAATGTTGTATCACACACTTTTCAATGTCTTATATTTTTTCAGAATGTCAAAATGGCTTTAGATATTTGGAATTTTTTTTACTGCCATATAAATTTTAATTTTTATATTTCTTTTCAGCTACCGTGTACAAATGTTATAACCAGTCTCATATAGAATCAGTAATATTGAATACTAGTTTGTACTTTCTTTGGAATCTGCAAAGCTTATGGTAGACACATGTATAATTACATGTAGAGAATTGGAAGACTGAAAATATTTTATGCTATCATATTTTCTTTCTTAATTATTACCTCATTGAACATCTTTCAGGATTATTCAAGCTTCTGATTACTAATAACAATATGAAACCCATATTTAGCTGGACATAATCATAGGTTTCTTAACCTCGCTAACATTTTTAAAAACATTATCAATCAGCATTTATATTTTTCTCCTTCCCATAATCATGAGTCAAATACAGACTATTGGAAGAGCATAATTTTAAAAACATAAAAATTTACCACTTACTCCTAGAAATTATTTCTTCTCTCTGTTACCAGAAGTGATGACTCTCACCTGAAATGAAGCTGTTTATTTTTAAACATGATTTGCCATATCACTTTGTATAATATATTATTACAACCATGCATACATTTCATGTATATTGGCACTCTAGGAAGTTTTTAGGAAGACACTAAGTAATACTCTTGTCATACTCATGAGTGTGAATATTATAGAAGAGTTTAGGTGATCAGTTCATCAACATTTTTGGTTATGAAAAGAGTCTATAGTGATGATATGGATTGAGGGTCTTCTTAGAGTGAATATACAGGTTTATCCATAGGCAAACAGAAGCACAGATAGTTTCAAAAGCTCCTACCTCCCAGAGTAGCAGATAGCAAGAAATGAGTCCCATATTTCTTGATAAGGTTTTCTGTGATTTGCTGAAGAGTAGGTCGTCGTCCCAAAAGCCTTATGTTGCGGAAGAATTCAGGAGCAAGAGGCAAAGGAGAGCCAAGAAAATTTCTTCTCTCAACTGCAAGATTATTTACCTTCCAACGGCCAAATTCCCTGAAAAGCAAATTTATTTTTATTCACAACTGCACAATCTGAGTGTTTCGATTTGAAAACTTCAATTGGGAGTTTAATTGACGTCTCTACATTGTAATGACTGTAACCTGTAGTAAGGTGTCAGGAGCTGCGAGTAGAAGAGACCACATCTATAGTTCACTTAACTGGAATTGAAACCAATTTACAGTGACAATAAGATACTTAAATAGCTTCTACTGAGGTATTTTCTCAAGGACATACATATACACAAACATTATGTCTTTTTGAAGAAATTGTATGTAGTTACTAAAAAAGAGACAAGAATAATAAAAATTAACATAATCTATTCTGGGTTGGACAGATTGTTAAATGGTTAAGGGCACTGACTGCTCTTCCAGAAGACACCGGTTAAGTTCCCAGCACCCTTATGATAGCAAACAGCTTTCTGTTACTTCAAATTCTACATGGACATATAAAACACTAATGCAATCAAACAAAAACAAATAATTTAAAAAATAAAAGTAATTTATGATGAGTACTTCAATAAAAAACAAAATTGACATCACCATTCCAAAGTCATTGTTTCCATTCATTTTTAAATATGAATTTTCAAATTTTGGGGAGATTTCAGATGCAGAAAAGATATTTTTCTTTAAGCCCTCAAATGAACAACTGTATTTCTGATCATTTTAATTTTATATTTAAAAAATTTATCATATGCAATGTATTCAAAATTTTGATTTTTAACAAAATTAATTTTTTTCAAGATGAATAACTTTATAGATGAATTTGTCAAATGACAGAACAGCCAGGTAAGGGCATTAGGTTGTGTATATTAAATAAACTAATGTATTTTACTTGAGTTACATTAATAGTAAACTTAGGAAAATTTTTGGTGAGCTAGATAACCTGACATAAGATTATTCAGATTATTTTAAACAACGGTTTTGCAATTTTTTTCATGAATTTCTTGCAAAGATGCTTTCAGTGTGCCAGACAAATTTACATAATTAAGAATATATTTATGATGGAGAACCATGTTACCGTGATGCCCATTTTCATGTGGAGATTATAAAATAAATAAACAAAGGGAAGGATTGCATTAAACAATGTTCTAATAATATGTTCTGAATATTTCACAGCCCACCTTCACTAACAACCAGCACTAAGAAGGGGTTGTCCTATCTTTTAATTAATTGCCAGGGAGAGCAACTCTGGAAAGGCAGTATGTAAGGAAATACTCAAAGAAGTAAGAGTTGCTGGATGGAGAGAAGTAGGGCAAGGTTTTACACAGATTAATGGGGGACAATTAGGTATTTCTGGGACTAAGAGGTCACAACGTAACATTTCCAACTGCATATATCTTGCAAATGTTGCATGTTTGGGGAGTTTAAAAGCATCCAATATTGGAAAACTAATCATAATGTCCGATTCACTAAGGAATCTAGAGGAAGCACTTTATTGAGTAAAACTGAGCTTACTCTTTCTTCCCTGAGTAACTCTAACTACCTTCCTTATTACATCATTTTCAAGGTTGAAATATTCTCCTCAGCAAGTGCTCTTAATGTCAGGAGATTTTAGAGACCCTTGGAAATTTTACACCAGAGTTAGTGTTTTATGGTATGTTAGGTGGAAATGACATTATATGTTTTAAAAATAAAAAAAATTGAATATTATGTGTTAATTATATGCACTTTAGAGTTTCATTATGCAATTTATTTGGGAATAATTTAATCATATTCATCCTCATTTACCCTCTTTTGACTCTTGCCTTTCTCTTCTCAAACACTCCCTTCTATTTTCACATCTCTGTTTTCCTTTAGATTTTAATTTTGCCTATATTTTCTATAGAGTGATTCATTTTCCTACAAATGGCATAAATCTGTCCTTCTTTATTGCTGAATAATAAAAAGAAATGTTAACGCTGCTCTTTATGGAACCACATTGGAAGAAAACTGCTCCCTAGATAGTTTGGTATATTCTTTTTAAAACCATTAAATGTACTTTCCATCATTAAACACTCAGCCTTTAACAATTGAGTATAATACTTCACACACACACACACACACACACACACACACACAATCATACACACACACAGAGACATAAACACATCTAACACATCTTGTTTTTTACCTAAGGTTGAGTTGTTGTCAGTAATTTTGTTCTATAATGTCATTTTCTACAACAATTTGTTTTATTGTTTTCCTATTACAAACACATAGAATAGTGTGTTGAAATATAAATTTAAATATGAGATAATTTTAAATAAAATATTTAATGTATTATTGATAATATCAACAAGATTAAGTAATATAGTCCTGGGAATTTACTTGTTAAACAATCATATATAAATATATAATTTTACTCACTCGTTGAAATATATATTTAAATAACAGTTGCTTACCAGCTAAAAAACTTGTAGCCTTGTATTCAGCAATAATAAATTAAATCCTGTAATTTGAGACAACTGGAACTGAAGATAATAAAACCGGGTAAAATAGCTCAGGCACAGGAAAAAAAGAATCATGTGATCTGATTCATGAGAGGATCTAAAATTAGAGTTGCTTATAAATGAAGAAAGGAATTCCAGCAATGCCAGTGGGGAGCAGATGGAAGTTAGAGGAAAGGCTAAGCAATAGGTACTACTGACAGAGGTGACAATCACTTAATGCAATGCCATTGCTTGATGATAACGTAAAACATGATTCAAGACGCTTAAGAAAGAATTCTTATGTTTTCTTTATTATGGGATGATCAACATTTGAGAAGGTTAAAAATCTATCATAATTTAAATAGGTTATTTAGATGTATCCATGCATAAAAATATCACATGCTAGCTCATAACCATAAACGATGCTTGTGTTTTGATTATCATCTAAAACAGTATATTTAACTGAAGCAAAGTAAATCTCTAGTCCTAGGGATTTGGGAATTGTACTGAGATATAATCTGAAGGAGAGAAATGAAGTTAAAATGCTGTAAAATATCTCTTTCTGCATAAAATACAAGGACATAGTTATTCTTATATCTTAACTTATTTCATGACTATTGCTTGATATGATTTTTTTCTCACCTAACTCATCTGGTGTGTTATGACTCCTCTTAGATTTTCATACCTTCCATACTGATATGAAGAGCTTAACACTGTGGATACTTCTATGGGGTGTGCTTCAGCCCTCAATGGTTTTGATTTTTCTGTTTACCACATCTAAAAATCTTACTGTCTCAATTCACTTTTCACCATTTATTTTTGACAAAACACTTATTTACTTTTGATCATTATTATTTTTCCAATGTCACCTACCAAAAAAAAATAACAGACTGTAAATACCACTAAACAAAGGTCAAATAAGTATTCAAGTAATTTCCAAGGAATTATTTTCCTAATTGCCAGAACATTAATTAAGATTCTCTTCTTCTTTCACAATCCTTGGAAGAGGTGATAAAAAGCAGTCTAGGCAAGAAAATTTTTTTTCTGGAGACTAAGTACTATCATATTTGCATGTACAGACATTGTCCCTTTCCTGAGCACAGGATCAGTTGGCATCTTCTGCTCTTCCTTAAAGCAGCTTCAGCTTTCCTTGACCAATGACCAGTGAACATGTTACATTGATCTGTCTTATTGTTCTGATACCTTAATGGAAAAAGATTACTCTTCTATATGTCCTCAAAAGTATCTTTCTTTGCAGACTGTAGAAACAAACAATATGTATGAATTAAAAAAAAACATAGTCATGTAAAGTCATCAAGATTATAGATTTATTGTTTAGATTGTTGACTAACTATAAATATTTTAAACATCATGAAAGATGTATTTTGACACTAGGAAAACTTTAAGAAACAAATTAGAAATTAATATTTTTACAAGTAATGGAATCATAGGAGAAAATTTTTAATTTCCATTTCATGAATAGATGATCCAGATTGTTGGAGACTCAACACTGTACAAAATTTCTTAAAATCAAAGTAAGGTAGTGTTCAATTGAAAACTTGTGAAAATATATGATATTAATTATGATTACTATAGTGTGAATATTTTACCTAACATCTGAGAATTCTGTCCAGATGTTGCATTACTATAATAAAGAAGAACTTTCTGATAACTCATTTAGTCCTTCATTCTTACTTGGAGCCTACACAGACCATAAAAAAATTTCCAGTATAGTTATTTGAAGTCTTTAAATGAAGTAGTTACAATGATTAGAACTTAACATATTTTGGCCCCTTTATAAACACAAATATTTCTATAGATTATAAAAATGAACCATCACCAGTTCAAATAGATCATCAACTTGAAATGTCTTTTTTAAGTTCTATGAAATCTCTTTATTTGTATCATATGGTTGTTTGCAAAAAATTCTGATTTTTTGGAATCTACAACTTGCCTCCACATACATTTATTTACCCACAATATCAATTATGTTCTTTGTTCCTCCTCATCTTACACAAGGGTGGGAGAACAAGAACTACATCATTAAATGCATTGAAATTATAGTCAAATAATTTTTACATTGTCATTATAATTTCATAATTATACTTAAAGTCTGTGTCAAATAATAAATGTGGTCATTATAATATCAGCTCCGTTTCCTTGTGATTTATCAAATGCAGATAATCAGTCATTAATTATACTGAAAAATTTGAACACAATATCACAGGAAAAGCTGTCTAGAATTTTGACAAAACAAAATAATTCAGTTGCTAAAACCAGGCTTATATTTAACTGCTAATTTGTTATGAATAAAGTTTTTTTTTCCCTAATTACTCAATGATATTAATTGCATCAGCTTTCATGTAACTACATGTGTTGGCTTATGATTTTATTTTATAAATATTCATTAAATTTACAAATATAATTTTAAAATAAAATATATTACTTAAGTGTTAATGTAATAATAAATTTAATGAGTATTGTAAAGTGATCTGACAACTCTTAGTAGCAATAATCTTGTAACTGCAGCTGTAAAACCATACTAATCTTAACAAATGTCTGCAATGATTGATATTTCCCACAGTTT